GTGCCAAAGTATACTTGAAGATATGCTTGTCATTTTGCCTGTATAGATTAGCTAGACTTGCATCGATATTATAGACACTTAAACTATACTTTGAAATCCATATGGTGGTGTTACGTTTGTGTTTTAATGGTTTCCTGTAAATTACTTGTATGTATGTTTGAAGTCCATTGTAATTTGTATTTGTATCAGTATAATATATTATTAATTTCAGATCAAAGAGCATTATCATCCATATTTTCTCTTAAAACTTTTAACCGTATGTCTGAAGCTGTGTTCTCATTGTGAAATATAGTATACCTGGTCTGGTAAATGTATAATGTGTACCAGTAAACTCTAACATTGTGCTGAGTGTAAATGTAAACTTCTCTTTGTGTATTTACTTGTCACTGTTTAATCATGGAAATATCATCTACTATGTGTCCCATGTTGTGAATGAGTACATAGCTTTTCTGTATATAGCTAATGGTCTTTCTGTATCAATTCCTATGTCAGGCATGTTAATTGTATCTCATTTAAATTGTCTACTGTTTACTCCATGTGAACTATCTACCATGTACCTCACTTAAACGTTGTACCCTATGTAAGCTGTCTACCATATACTCTTGTATACTGTCAATAATGTATCCCATGTAAACTGTTTACTATGTATATGTACCCTTGTAAACTACTCATTTATTCTATCTAACATGTACCCCATGTGAACTAATCTGTACCCAATATAAACTATCTACCCCTTGTAAATTATCTGCCATGTACCTCCTTTACACTACCATGTACCCCATGTAAACTGTAAACCTGTGTACCCTATATACACTGTCTGCCATGTATCCCAGGTAAACAGTCTACCATGTACCTCACATACACTATCTACCATGTACCCCATGTAAACTGTCTACCATGTACCTCACACTATCTACCATGTACCCCATGTAAACTTTCCCACCCTGTTCCCCATGTAAACTGTCTGCCTTGTACCTCATGTAAACTGTCAGCCATGTACCTCATTTACACTATCTACCCTGTACCACCATGTAAACTTGCCGACCCTGTACCCCATGTAAACTAGTCTACCCTGTACCCCAATGTAATCTGCCATGTATTCCATGTAAACTGCCATATATCCCATGTAAACTGCCATGGAGCCCATGTAAACTGTCTGCCATTTACCCCCATGTAAACTGCCATGTAGCCCCATGTAAACTTGTCTGCCATGTAGCCCATGTAAATTGCCATGTACCCCCATGTAAACTGTCTACCATGTACCCCCATGTAAACTGTCATGTAGCCCATGTAAACTGCCATATATTCCATGTAAACTGCCATGTACCCCCATGTAAACTGCCATGTAGCATATGTAAACTGTCTGCCATATATCCCATGAAATTTGCCATGGAGCCCATGTAAACTGTCTGCCATTTACCCCCATGTAAACTGCCATGTAGCCCATGTAAATTGCCATGTATCATGTAAAATTTTCTGTGTGCCTGTACTTAACTACTGCCTATGTTATTATGTACTGCATCCCATGCTAACTTTTCAGTGTGTATGTACTATAAATTTGATATATGTTGTATGTACGTTGTACCCAATCATAACTGTTGTTTTGACTGTATGCTGTACACTCTGTAAAAATGTAGGCTTTCTGCTATGCACTCTTTGCGTACTATCATAAACCTCCCCTGAACTTAATGTGACTTTGTCTACATTGTACCTCTTATAATCGTACACATGCATCATAAACAAGTTACAAAATGTTATCCCATCCACTTCACACTCCGGAGTACAGAATGTAATCCCATTGTCAACACACACTTATGTACAACGTGTAATCCCTTTTCTACACACAAACCTGTACAGAGTGTAATCTGATTGTCTACACAATCATAAACAGTTTAATCAGATTAAATACACACATTCACAAGATGTCTACACACCAATGTCTTCACACTTCAGCACACTCGGTCTACTCATTCTGTTTTGTGACTGTAGAATTTTCAATGTACATATACATGTTCTTTTGTACCAAATACTCAAAAGTTATTCCATTTACACTTATTAATCAAGAACCTCATATGAATATACATTTCTGTATTTTGGACAACTGAAAACGTGTTCATACCATTTTATCTATAGATTCTTTTTGTGATGGTTAGGTAATGTTTATACACTTTTTTTTTTTTTTTTTTCACTGAAGGATTTAATCGGTATGGGAGTTTATGTCCCTTGTTGACAAATTGTCCAGTAAGTTTTATTTACCAGTGTAAACATCTATTAACACATTCATATAATTAAGTTACTCTGCAAGACATTTTTGTGAATTTTATTTCTTACTTCATCAATATGTGTGTGACCCCAGACTACCATTCCAGTATTTATTCACCCTCATAAATTGTATGTATAAAGATATCACTTTCAGTGTAATTCTCAGATAAATATTTTGTACACCATTTAGAAGTATTCCTTCTGTAATTTTTTCCCTGTAGGTAGCCTTAAAAATCTTGTCATATTCATCCATCATTAATAATCTGGGCTGCTTTAATTTCGAGTTTACTCCTAAAAATCTTGTTATATTGCCACCATTTGTCAGGGGTAACTACACCATAATAAAAAGGTATGAAGGGCATGTTGGAATTCATTGGCAAATACTAGCAAAATGACAAAAGAGGAGTGTTATATAGATGTTTAAGGGTAAAGAAAACAGAAGCATTAAAGATTATTTTCATCTTTGCATTAATAGGTTCAGTTATATCAAAACATTGAAATATTACTTTTCATCATGAAGACTAATAGACATGTAAGTATTACTTATACAAGACAGGTCAGTTTCACCATAGATTGGTCTACTGGTAGTTTCATGATTTTCTATTAATTGTTATGTCTGTTCTCCCAGCTAAACATTTTATGTTGTTTTATTTTGTGCAATGGTATGCTATTAAAGTACTTTATTTTTAAGATTTACATTACAAATTTGTTTGGTACTTAAGTTAAAATAATAAATGCAAAATCAGTAATACATGGCATTTATTAATTTTTGTAAGATTTGTACTGCTGGTTGAAAATATTATTAAAACATTTTAACATAACATGGCGTTTGTTTTTATATATACATGAATTTTTAAAAATTCTGGCTCTTTGTTAAGATGATTATTAATGCATTTTTGTGATAGCATTTCTACATTATAAAAGAGTGGTGCTTTAACACATTCTTTTGTTTGATAATTTCTGTGATCTTATCACCGATATACTCCTGAATTGCAAATGCATTGCTACAGCAATCACTCTAATGCCAGCCAAAACATGGCAGCAATCATTCATGTCTTTTTTTCAGCTAAAACTGAAATTTGTGATCTAGTGTTCTGTAGATGGATTGAAACAAACATACAAGAGTAGGTTTGTAGTTACGTCAGTCAATACATTTTGTCCGAGACTTTGTTTATGAACTAGTGGAGATATATTCATGTCCTGATGTGATAGGAAGTTGGGCATCTTTGATGCTCATAGATTCTGTGAAGTTACTTGTATTGATCAAGATTTTTACAGTGTGAGTGTTGTTGATGAAGCAGAATACACTTACTGTTATGGAACACATCGTCTCATTCACCTTGTACTTTTTTAGTGTAAATCTTTCAGTTTTCCTATTTTCTCCCCAAGTTCTCATAGAATTTGTGGTTGAATTAAGGTTCTGTTGACATTTTGGTATTTATTTTGTGATTCTAATAGCTAGCAAACAACATCAAAATATGCCATTTTGATGGCTTGGATCTTTTGAGAATTGCAGACAGAAAACTTAATACATAGCATTTTATATGTACATGGTGTTTTGCATACACTGTACACAGTCCACTAGTTATTCTGGAATATACCTATGTGTTATCACCTATGATTGCAAAAGGAATGCCAGGACCTTTTATGACCACAAATGAAGTGCCCTGAACTAAAACCTAGGTCACATGCCCTACTTGAAGAGTTATGGCCCTTTTTTCACTCTCCTTATCATATCTGGTATATCACGTACTTTTGTTGAATTTTGTGAGCAAGTTTAAGTGGTGGAACGGGTCATGTGTGTGATACAATTGTCGCAGTTTGGACCTAGTTGGGGGCTTATGGGATAGTTGTAATACTATTTAGCATGAAGTAGATTTCATATTTAGTTTTTGAAACCTGCTTGCAGATTTTGGTATGCAGTATAATGATAAGTGTCTTTGGACATGATTTTGTTTTAGTCTTTGTGAAGGATAATTTTATCAACTGTAGTGTCATTAAAATATTAAAAGTGCTACAGAAATAGTGTTCCTGAGATCAATTTACCAGTAGTAAAAACTTGCACAGGAGTAGAATTTTTACAAATTTCAGTCTACCATCATTGGATGTTTGACTTAAAATCCCCTTGGTCTGACAGTTGTCATTCTTTAAAGCCCTGTCGTCTTGACATCTTTCCATCCATAAATAATTGATGTTATCAATAGTTCCTGAGAAATACATTATGGATCTTTCTTTAATTCCATATGTTTAGTCAAGTCCCTAGTGCTGCCCATTTGATTTTGGAACTAACAAGAAAAAAAATTGCTGAAAATCGGCCATCTTGGATTTTTATCATGTTAATTTGTTATAACCATATCTTGAAAAGTACTAAACAAATACATTTCTCAAATGAAGCCTCCCTTTGGTCACTTGTGGCACCATTTCAATTTTGAGATCAATGACCAAAAAAAAAAAAAAAAAAAAATGGAAAGGGTAGATCACTTTATGTCTTATCATGTCAAGTTTGTCTGTATGTTTCATGCCTTTTTTTGTTGTTCTGACTTACATATGAATACCATATAGGTAGATTGTGAAATTGACATTGATTCCAGAGAGCACACAGTTGGACTGGATGACTATGTACAGGGAAACTGATCTGATGGAGAATGTAGACCAGATATGTATAATTTAGATTGACCTGAAGCAGTTGTGATAATGGTACATATAGGAAGAAATCCATGTCTTCAATGTTCCTCTGATAAGTTTAATTTTTGGAGAAGGCAAACAAGTTTGCTATACAGTTTTCATTTATGAAGCACATTTAATCAGTTTGCACACATATTTCAGGTGACCCATTGAATTCCATAAAGTTCAGGTGATTTCACTATGTGTAAATATTGCATGTTCAATATACTATCTCAACAAGTGAGTTTTTTACTTTCCAACATTGTGACATGAATTGCATACCAAAAAATGATAACAATATTAATGAATGAAGAGTTTCAATGTTCTAAGACAGGTATACAAAATGTACCTTCGAGGTCTTTACAGAGTGAATGTTGTTACATCTGTTTCAACAACTTGTTTACATATTTCTCTACAGAGATCTGGAATGCCATCACAATCTAATGACCCAAGTTGACCTTTAACATTTTCTGAATTCAGGCACTTCATAATAACAAGTATTTCCTTAATGGCTGTCACCAGTCTTGTCTTGACCTCACCTGATATTGTTAAACTGTCCAGTGACAGATCACACAAGCATTTGACAAGCATTTTCAAAATGCTGTTCATGTGACATGGAATTCTAGGCCAACAGTATCGGATGGTTTTCTGTAACAACAGTAACATATTGAATCTAGCTTCTTCACTAGGGCTGTCAGATATCTCCAGAAAATGTCCTATCACATTCAGTGTGATACCAAGATAGCGCACTGCAGATATTCCCATCATTTCAACAAAAATGTGCAAATGCTGAGTATATATTCTCCTAAGTTTCAAAATGTTTTCCCCTTCAGCATTTTGAAGGAGTTGCTGGTATATTTCCTCAAATCTACTAACTGGTCGGGTAGTTTCTCCTGACTGAGGATTTTTTTCTACAATCTTTAATGTACATAATATAGCTGGAATAGTTTTAGCTAAAAGTGTTGGTTCGCTTGTGTAAAGCTGATGTCGCAGTGCCTCTAGAATAACATCAGCTCGTCCATACCACCGTAACTCTTCTGCAGACACATTGTTTACAATATGCATCAGACAAGACACCCCACTGACTTTATTTACAAGCATGTAGTCGTCTGTGAACAAAAGAGCAGGTGGCAATACACTTTCTAAGAATTCACTTAGAACTGGAAATGATGTATGATTCAAACACCAAATGAACACACACTTTGCTCCAGGACTTTTCTTCCAAGTTTCCCTTAGTAACTTCGATTTAATTATTTGGAAAATTTTGTAAAGCAGTGTTGATTCAGTTCTCTGAATTTCATCATTTAGCATTAAATGGCATTGAAGTAGTTTTGAATATTCGTCAGTATCTAAAAGTTCACATAAACACTGAAGCAAACGTTTTGCTTTTTTTATGGAAGTTGTTGTAGTCCAAAATCCATTCTCTACATGTTCCAATGCAAGGATCATAGCATGTGGGCAGACTTTATAAATCAACTTTGCAATCTCACAAACATGTGAGTTTTTCTTCCTTAAATCTCCAAGACGACTAAGTAAAACTATCACAAATGATAAAATATTCTCAGCTTGAGATGCCACACTAGGGAAATCATTTTCATCAAAGGCATAATGTTCTTTGTCTTGAAAAGTTGGCACAAGTACTGAACTGACAACTTCCTGTATTCCTTTGTAAAGAGCAATCGCCTCCTGTTCTTGTTGAAGGCTTCCAACAAGCCAATCGTCAGCACATTCTGTGAGAATAACTGTCACAATTTCAACCCGCACACTAAAATCTTCTTTCTTTTTTATCTGTCTAAGAAATCTCAGAATATCAACAAGTGTAAACCGCTGCCATACAATGGAGAAATCGTGTCTACTTTCGCTTTGATGATGGTTCTTCAGGAATCCATCAAACAACGCTTTCAATCCCTCCATATTAAAATGTATAATTGCATCACCAGAATTTTTTGTTATAACTTCAACAGCTTGACACTGACTTGATTTTCTTATAAGTCGTAGTTACAGACTATAAATATTGTCAATCCAGCCAGCCCATGCAACCGGACCATGGGTGCCGCCATTACCAATAAGTTCTAAAATAGAAACCGGAAAACGGAAGTCCTTGTTGTTACGGATGAAAAACAGGAGGAAAAAATAAAACAAAAAACAAAACAAAAACTAAAGAAACTACAAAATAAAAAAAAAATGTGTATTTATCATTTATCAATAGATAAACAGTCAGACTGACAATTGCATTCAATTCCTTTAAAACTTTTTTTCTTTTTGCATTGGAGATCATGTTGTAGAACTGTTGTATGTGGCATGAAATTGTGAACTTCATCAGTCTTAACTATGCATATACAAATTCATATAAAGTCTGTCCTATTCATGCCAATTTGATTAATTACTGCATGTTGTGATTTCATCATTGTTTTGTTGTATAAACCTTGCTATTTTTTGGTTGTCATTATGATAGCTCTCTAAAGCTGATGTTTGTATTGCAAGATACAGTGTGACACTAAATAAATATTCTTTCACCTAGCAAAGATTGAATACCATCAAACCCTTACTCATATGAAAGTGTCCAAAACAGGTGCTCTCTGGTTATCTAAATAATTCCAGTATTGTCCGAATAACTGTTTTCCCTTAAATAAATCATTTAATTTGAATTTCAACTTTTTCTTATTAACAGCACCATTACACATTCTATCAATAGAGTGGCCACATTAAAAAAAAAATCAAATGAGAGGCAAAAGATCTGCTCATTTTTGCTCTCACAAACATCATTTGTTCATTTTCATGTGTATAGAAGACTTGATTTGTATTTGTCTGGAAGGATGTATCAAGACTGTGGAGGCTTGTCTTGTGTTAGCTTTGTGTCCTATATATCCCTGTAATAGCCATTAGAACAAAGATTCATTGAAAAATTATATTCATTTGAATATCCTGGCAATATGGTAATACCCCGGTATATTCTGGTTAATAAGGCAATTTTACTGTAACAAGAATGTTTGAGTTAATTATTTTACAAGCTTTGTTATTGTGTAAAACTAGAAAAACTTTTCACCAAATTGAAGTCAACTTGTCACAATAATTATCACAACATTTTAAATGGATGTTAACCATATGATTTATTTTATTTCGGAACTGGGGACCAAGAAGAACCTACAGATGCAATCAGATCAAAAATATCCAGTACTTCTCAAGAAAAAACGACAATATTTCATTGTCAGAATCCAATACATTTGCTTGACCGTGATTTTGTTTTCCAGGGGATCATAAATATGAATTGAGAAAGTTCCATCTACTACTCATATATAGGAAATACAAATCAAACTTTCAGTCACAAATCAGGATGAGTGCCTGTCAAGTTTTCAGTCCTGACTGGTCCCAAAATCAAAAAGGGATCAACTACAGGGAACAAGAGGAATCTACATATGAAATTTGTGGGGGATCGGTCCAGTATTTCTTAAGGAAAAGCATTTTAATCTGGTAACAATTTTTCAGGAACTGCAGAAATAAGTATATTAAACCAGCTTCTCTCTTGACACTACAAGGTAGTCAAAATGGTGATGTTTATGTGGTCTCAGGTCAAGGACAAGGCATCTCACTCATCTGCAACATTTCAATATATAGCATCAAGGCCAATTTCAAGCCATCTAACAGAACTGTATAAAGAACAAGGTCAAGTCATTCTACAATTTCGGTATATTTTGGTACATGTAGCACTATGGTCAAGTCATTTCACAGTACATTCCCATATATATAGCACCAAAGTCCAGGTTAAGTCATCTCATACCCTTCCAAAGTATACAGCACCAAGGTCAAGTCATCTTACAACAATTCAAAATGTACGGAATGAAAATGAAGGGGTCAAAGTTGAAGTGATCTAACTCTCTTGAGTACATAAGTGTGGAGGTAAAGCCTGAGGAACGATACTGGGACAGAAAACAACAAGAGATATATTTTTTCTGTTCTTTCTTTAATATTTTCTTTAACAAGAGTTCCTCGGAACTGTATGTGTCGCCTGCATAAAGTCACCCAGAAATCGAACTGGATGTCAAAACTAATCTGTACCCTTCCAACAAGAAGTCATACACCAAATTTCATGTCTATAACTCAAAGCATAACCAAAGAAAGTCCAGAAAACAATATTCCCAGAGAATTTTCTAAGTTCAAAGGGGCATTACTCTGTCAAGATGGGTCACAGACAGCTGGAAATCGAACTTAATCTGTACCCTTCCAACAAGAAGCCCTATACCAAATTTCATTTCAATAACTCAAAGGATAAGCGAAAAAAGTCCGGAAAACAATATTCCCAGAGAATTTTCGAAGTTCAAAGGGGCATTACTCTGTCAAGAAGGGTCACAGAGAGCCGGAAATTGAACTTAAACTGTACCCTTCAAACAAGAAGCCATATACTAAATTTCATTTTGATAACTCAAGGCATTATCGAAAAAAGTCCGGAAAACTTTCGTACGGATGCCGCCGACACGTGACAATGGACAAAGTGGTCCCTAAGTGTCCACCAGCTCTGCAGGCCACACAATAAAAGTAACATAATGTTACACATTCAATATACATGATACAACCATGAAGGACTTTGATGAATATGTTTATCAACACAACAAACTGATGACAAAATGCATAAAACAGAAGAGAAATTCAAGGTTTTTATAGGTCAAAGTTTACACTTCAGAAGTACATCTACTATGTTATCACCAATCACATGTTTATTTATCTACCCTGATAAACGCCAGAAAGAGTTTTTATACATGTTGATAATTATGTTCTAATAATTATGTACTTCCAGTGTGTAAAACCTCTACGTAGCAATGGAATGGAGATGATTTATTTCCAAAATATTGTCAAGTTTCAAAGGTAATATTGAAACTTAGTTAAGATTCTTGAAAAGAAAATAAGTAAATTGACTTTCTAATCAGACATCAACACTTACTGCTCACGTTCACAAAATTTCCTCATGACAATAAAAAAACGAAAATTCCAGTAACCTGCTGAAATATTTCACAAAGTAACTGCAAACTCTTGAAGTACAACTGAAATGTTAGGAGAATAAACTACATCTAAGACCATATCTCTCTTCCATTTCTCTTATTGTCCATTCTCCATTCATAATAATTTTCTCATACCAGTAGTTTCCGATATAGGTTTCCTAATTTTTATATCATTTTATATTAATATCGTTATTTTCCAAACTATATCATACATCCCTTTAATCCCTCACTTTATCAATTTTCTAAATTTCTCCACTACCCTAGTTTCCCTATAATATATTAATATCTCTAAGGGTTCATCTTTGAATGCTGAAACGATGGTTAAGGGTAACACTTCAGGGTACAAAAAAAAAGAAACCCATATATGTTATTATCATGAAACCAAAACAAAAAGTGGCATAACTTGAAAAAAAAAAATTGTGCAATTTTTTATCAAGTAGACTTCAAACAACCAGTAAATAACTTTTACTTGTGAAATAAAATGGCAATGCTGTATGTAATTGTGTTTCCTATGGTAGTAAATATACTAGTTATGTATATATATGTATATATATATATATATCCTTAGTAGTGAACAGCATGTTTCTAGTACATTCATAAACACTACCATCATAAATGCTCTGTTATCTTCACTCATTCTTACTGAAATTGTGATTCCTTAGGTGTGTAGGGTAAAAACAGGTACATGTAAAAGCTTTTACAACTATTCATTTATTGATCATGAATGTATATAGATACATGTTTGTTTACTACTAAGGATATATACATTTTGTAAATGAAATGAAATACAATTTTATCAAAAATGATTTTATTTCTCAGAATTTGCTACTAAATTCTTCATCATATATTTTTAAGATCAAATCACTATTTAAACGAGAAATCCCAGTGGGATCTTTGATCTTTAGTTATAGTCCTTCACAAGAAATAGCAATAACAAACTTTCATAGTCAAAATCCAAGATGGCTCCCTTTTGGCCATTTTGTTATTCTGATCAGACCCAAAATTATATGAACACAACTAAGGACAAAAGGGAACTTACATATTAAATCTGAGTAAGATCCATCCCTTACTTTTAAAAGAAATAACAATCATAATCTTCATTGAAAAAATCCCTGCCTATCGGCACAACTAGGGACCAATGGGAACCTACATATGCAATTTGAGAAAGATCCATCCATAACATCTCAAGAAATAGCGATAACAAAAATTGTTTATGCATTGATGAGGGATGGATGAAGAGTGATCTGAATAAGGTGGGCTAAAAAGTCAAGTGCAAAATCTTGAACAAAAGTTCAATTTGATCACTATTAAAAATTCCCAAAGCAAAACTTTATAGTTTATAGTTGCATCCTGCAGCATTCACTTTACAACTCAAATCACAAGAGAAAAATTTTGATATGCGAACAGACAAATAAAGTCTAAGACTGTGTTGTTTACACAGTTCAGATAACACATGTCTCTGTCAAATGATTGATTCCATCCTCCTTCTCTGAAAGTTTAAAGTCCTGAAGTGGTTTGTCCAATTGTCCTCATAAAATGGCTTTCCGATGGTAGTCTGGAGGTGCTACAATGAAGTCATTCATGTTCAGCAGAACAGCGGAGTTCTTCTGCATGTACCTGGTGTATAGAAATGAAAATACAAACAAATTGCAACAATGTACAGTTATATTTCATTTATATTCATCAACCTTTGAGCTTTCAAATAATTCTAACTGATTTTCAGTTGTTTCAAATTATTGGTTAGAAAACAATTATTGTAACAGAAAAGAAGCTAATTTGAACAAGGTGCCACTAAAATGTTTCCTATACAGATAATATTACAGTTGAAATATGTGATGTGGTTCTGTAGTATTAGTATTATAGATCAAGTTTAACTTCACCTGTTTTTTTTTGAGTTACAGTCCTTTGAACTTTGTAAGTTTTGTTTTTTCAGTCTTCTCCCATTACTTAATGAAAAGTTATAGATCAGGTTTAAGTTTTAATCTGTTAACACATTTTACTGAGATTTTGAAGACAGCTAACAGACACCATGACAGAAAGATAAATACAAAACCTTAAGGGTGGTCACTTTGACAATCTTTACCTCAAGAAATCCTGCAGATGGGTAAGTAAAAGTTGAATGCTTTTCTCATCCAAAGAAGTGTAGGCTAGCATACCACCTAGTTTTACTGTAAAAAATATTTCAAATTTATTTGATGAAAAACTTTTTCACTGAAATCAAATTCATATATTACATCTTAAACTTTAGATAAGAATATAATCAATGAATCATAATATGTGTAATTTATCAGCAGTGAAATACTGGTTCTATAAATATATATAACATCTGGGGTTATCAGTAAATACCAATGATGAGACAGTGTCATTATCTGTGCCACCCTGAAGAGAAATTCAGCTTGTATTTGTATATGATTTTTGTAGGCATATTTATATTTGCCATTTCTGGTTTAAGTTATGGTAATGTAAGATTGTACATATCTGTAATACAAATCCATGTAAAATGGATTTAAAGGCCTACAAACCAATAATTATATCAAATTCAGCCATTAAAATAACAAATATCCATTTCACAAGGGAACAAGAGGCCAAGCAGACTTGATGGTCACCTGAGATAAGCAATATTGAATATAAAGTGTCATGAAACAGAAATTTTGACACTGAATATAGACAGTGTCAACACATGCATTCCATCAAAACTGTAATCCTATACTGATAATTCTTATAGAGTTATTTCCAGTGGGAAATAACCAACATTAGTCTCAAAAATACAATTTTTCTATGAAAATTACAGTAAAGTCTAAAAAACATATTCCTCCTGAGGAAGAAATGTAGACTCATTTTGGTAATTATAGCACCTTCAGATGCTTCCATTCATGAAGAACATTTGATTCTACCATATCTGGGTATTGAGAAGATTTTTGAAATCTAAGTCAATTTAACCTCTTTTGGCCCTGTCCATCAGCCCCTGGGGGTCAGTCAGGATCAAAATGGGCATATCATCAAGCTGTTGCCCTTCACTCATAATTCTAACCAAGTTTGAAATATTTACAATGGAAATTAAACAAATTATGCTAAAAAATCTAGTTTTCCTATATAAACCAAAGTAAACTTTACCCACTTCCCAAGGGGATAAGCCAGACCCTGGGGCCATTAAATTCACAATTTTGGTAAAGCATCTTAAGATACTTCCATTCATTAAGAGTATTTGATTCTACCAAACTGGGTCTTGAGATGAAGATTTTAAAAATCTGAGTCAATTTGTCCCCTTTGGGCCCTGCCCCTCAGGTCCCTTGGGGTGGGGACTGTATAATTCACCAGTTTGGTTCATCTTAGGCCAGGGAAGGTTTCTGCTGAATTTCAATGAAACTGAATCAGGATTTTTGAGAAGTCGAAAGTGTTAATTTGATTACGGATGTACAACGCCAGATGAAGGTTATTAGAATAGGTCACCATGAGACTTTGTGGATATATCACGTCTTGTTGAAGCCTCACATCTGGATGCAAAATTTGTCCACTTTCAGCTGTTGAAATATCTTATCAGATCAGTAATGACAATTCTTCGGGTATGTGCACATGTTGTTTACTAATAATGATAATGCAGTACTCAAATAATCCAAACTTATATATAGATGGGACTTTTATCTATCAAAAAAACAAAGCAAACAAAATGCCAAAAATGTGACATAAATATCTTATGTTCACAATTATTATACAACAAACTTATACTACATGGCCTTACTAATATCATTTTGTGTGAAGTTTGACATTTTTACCTCAAGCAACTTACCAAACAGACGTAAAAGATGGACAGCTCCATATATACTAGACATAGGTTTGTCAGAGTGTTCCTTCATTATCTGTAACAATGATAGCCATAGAATTTTATGAGATCACAATCACAGTGCAGTACAAAAACAAATTATAGATGGAAGTTAACATTTTCACTGGAGTAAAATAGCAAATTGATATACACTCTGTGTAGTATATCGTATATATGATATTCAGAAGAACAGAAAAGATAGGTAAAGTTGACCTACTTTGGTCAGATCATGAACTGTACAATTACGAAGACTTTTTGAAACCAAAGACACAGGTAACAAAAGAGTTCATTATTTTACTCAAACTTTGCTACAGTGGATCTGATTTAACGAAATACCCGGATGTTTAAAGTCAGAGCTAACACTTATCTCTCCATATTGTGACCTTCATACCTAGACATTTACTTAGAGCTGACATTCACCTCTACATATTGTGACCTTCATACCTAGACCTTAACTTAAAGCTGACATTCACCTCTACATATTGTGACCTTCATACCTAGACATTTACTTAGAGCTGACATTCACCTCTACATATTGTGACCTTCATTATCAAAAAGTTGAAAGTGAAAGCTGACACTCACCTCTCCATATTGCGGTCTTTCAAACTTGTAGAGAAGTTGTGTGCCAAGCATGACATTAAAATATTCTCGGATTCCTTGGGTTACCTCAATAACTGCGTCTCTGAAAATGTGCATTTTTACTTTAATTGGCATACTCCACAGGGTTAGACAGAAATGTACAACATTTCCAGTTTACTTGGAATACTAAAATAATTCCAGCAAATAGTTATGTGACAATAATAAGTACACTTGTGTGTTGGCAATGACATAATCTTCCTGTAGAAAACTTGAAAATTCTATTAAGTAATATTTAATGGATCTTTTAATTGTACTGTGGTCTGTATCTGGTGAATGTAGGACTGATTTGATGATGATAACTTACTTGTTACATGTGTTACCCTTCGTTGTCTTACTTCTGACATACTCATCCAGAATATTGTCAACCGTTGATTTACAAGGAAGCGACACCAACTGTAAAATAAACAAAGAAAACTTTTTAACAACCAAAAGTTAAATTGTTGATAGGGAAAATTTCACAAGTTCTTTTAAGCAATCAGGATTTCTTCAAAAGTTGGCTATAAGTGGCATTACCAACCTGTTTTTGACGTGTTATGAGATCCCAATCATCCACCAGCCAAGGTTTCAGTTCGTCAGGTATCTTTATTTTAACTTCTACTTTTGCTAGGTAAGCTTCCTCCTGTTAATATATATATATATCACTGTTTAAGTCCTCAGATAAGTTATTAATCTTATAAATCAGTTATTACTATACACTATATATTACTATTACTATTATAAATCAGTTATTACTATACACTATATATTACTATTACTATTATAAATCAGTTATTACTATACACTATATATTACTATTACTATTATAAATCAGTTATTACTATACACTATATATTACTATTACTATTATAAATCAGTTATTACTATACACTATATATATACTATTACTATTATAAATCAGTTATTACTATACACTATACACTATATATTACTATTACTATTATAAATCAGTTATTACTATACACTATATATTACTATTACTATTATAAATCAGTTATTACTATACACTATATATTACTATTAATCTTATAAATCAGTTATTACTATACACTATATATTACTATTACTATAAACATCCTTTGTAGAGAAATCATCAGGATAATTACGGTTTTTTTCAAAACAACAAAAGAACCTGAAAAATGTATGTTTAGACATTATTTTAGGTTACTAACACCGATAGGTTTGTCAGGATACCAACTTAACATTTGTTTAAGCCTAAACTTCAGAATATAGACACTTTGCCTAGGCCAATGGTATATCTAAAACAAATTTTGATTGGTAGCTTGAATACCAAAGTATTGTTGATAAGTCTAATTTCATCATTTCAAAGACATACCGATTCAACCACTGCTTCAACTGCACCTCTTGTACGCTTCCTCTTTTGCTCGGCAGTGGTGGGTGTGGCAGCTGAAGTAGCTGTTGATGTGGCTGCTGTTGTCATAGGAATGAGTGAAGAAACAGGTGCAGCAGGTTCTGGTGTTGGTGTCTAATGCCAATATACATATTTAAATCAAGTTTATATCTAACAAACATTTCAGAGTTCAGTTTACATTCAACAAACACTTCATAGTCAGGTTTATATGCACCAAACAAAACAATACCCAGTCTATATCTGAACATGTATATCTAGTCTGTGTGAAAGGTAGTGAACTGTGTATATGTAGTTATATTAAAAAGCCATACCAGTTGTATCGGATGCTGATAAGGGAAGTTTAAAATAAACATACATATTTTTACACGAAGGTGAGGATATTGTTAATCTGAACACTTACAGAGGCAGGAGTGGAATCAGAATGGGGTTCTGCTCGCAATCGCTTCCGTTTCTGTTGGTCAGGATTTGAGGAAGCAGGAGTTCCTGCAGAAGACTCTGATGCTGGTGTCTATCAAAATGAACTCATCTTAATAATACATTGTTACTCAGATCTGCTTGTGATTATTCTAATATATGTACAAATGTGAAACCAGATCTTGATTAAGAGATTCTTATATGGATAAAAAAAATAAAAAGAGGCCAAGAAAGTCAGCATAGTTGATTACAACATGTTATAACATTTTAGAATTTACTTCAATTCATAGCTTTATAAATAATGGGAACCAGATAAGAAATCTGTACAAATATGAACAGGAAAGGAAAAGACAACTGAAGACTTGAAAGCAACACTAGCTAATAGATATCAAGAACTCTCTACTAAATCTATGCACAAAAGGGAAGAAAAATTAGGATTAGATAAATCAAATGACAATAGGAAGATAAAATTCAAACTGCCCTTAGATTTGACATGGGTATTTGTATGGTAAACACAAAAATGCTGACTTTTTTATTTTGGTTGTCCACATTCACATGCCTTATGGTCATTCCTGTGAGAACAATATAGAACTAACTGTAATACAGATATTCTGTTGTCAAATATTTCCTTTATATATGGAATGGACGACACTTCTGAAAACAAAAGTGTAAATATGTATATTATCATCAAGAAATATATTTACTCATGCAGAAACAAACATACATCACCAACAATTGATGAGGCCTACTATGTAATATGATATTGTAAACTTGTTGAAAATCATAGTATCCCATGTTATCAATGAGCAAAATTCGACCGAGTAATAGCAGAGCGGGAAGTTATCAGCATTGGATTTTTGTTTACTTTTGCTAATGCCTTTTATATCTGAAACATTTATTTATCTTAACAATGAGAATGAAACAAGGTGTTACTGTATATGAGAAGTAATAAAAAGACTTTTAGAATCTATAAGTAAGTAAGACAATATGTAGTACAATGTTGTCATAATTGTCATGTACTTAACTGTACATTAACATGTTATTTTTCAAAACATACAATTCGATAAAAAAAAAAAAAAAACAAATTTAGACTTGTTTTTTTATCCAAGGGTGCTTCAGATCAAATCTGGACAAAACTGAATAATTCCAACAGAGGATGGATTTTCAAGAATTTGCTCTATTTCCCCTATTAGGACCCTCCCCTCCTTCCCCAGAGGACTGAAATCCACATTTATACAACATTGATTCTCCTTCACCCAGCAAAACTTAAGACTGAATTAGCAGAAAATCCAATCATTCCTACAGGGAGAGTAGGCACTTATAAATTTGCTCCTTTTCCCTTATTGGACTCTGCCCCTCCTGTCCTAGGGGTTGAGACCCATTTGATTTCCTTTCACCAAACAATGCTTCCGATCATATTTGGGCAAACTTTGCTCCGTTTTCCCTCGTGGACCCTGCTGTTCCTTCACTAAGGGTGCTGAGACCCACTACTTATACAACACTGATTCCATTTTGGACCAGGTGAGCTAACAATTTGGTCAAAAATAATTTGATCTCTGAACATCCTATCCTGATTCCCTGCCATGCCCACCCATTACCCTTCAGCCAGGGTTTTAACATTTTCCATTTATACCATATTATACACCAATAATATTCAACCCCCATCCCTTTATATACACTTCAAAATAACAGATTTACCTCTATTACCAAGCATTGTCTTAACAATGAACATCATTATTCTATGATGGATTGGCCCTCAAAGTTGTCATGACAAGATGAATATAATTTGTTCTGAGAAATGGCTATTTCAAAAATTTTGTACTGATGATTCACGGATCCAAGAAGACCAAATGACAAAATCAGACTTTGATTGGCAAAACCAGTGTTAAAGTAGCACATGGTACTTTACCATATTACATATTCTTCCAAAACCTAAAATCTTACCGATTCTGAGGCTACATCTGCCTTGGCCCTCTTGCGTTTAAGCTCAGGGACTGGTGTCTCTGTACCACTGGAATCCTGTTTGCCTGTTGATGTACTGGACTGGGAACTGCTAACGGATCCTCCTGTAAAGCAGTCAAATATAAATACATTTCAAAGAGGACTGGATTAACTCTCAATCTGTATTTCATAAATTCTAAAGGATAGTAATAAACGGGGAACAGTAGCATCAATGACCATGACATCCAGTCTAAGTCAAAAGTAGGATAAAGGGTTACTGGAACAAGTGTTCCTACCTACATGTATGTTTGTTTTCAGAATATTCCATGATGACAGGGATATGTTAAGTAAATCAGTATCTCAACCCTTGAGGTCAGAAGGTAAAAAAGTGTCACTTTAGACTGGCATAACTCTTCTTTAGTACTTACTAACAAGGCTAATACAGTATACTCATGGTGTGATTACCAAATAGAGTATAATATCTACGAGATTGCAATGATTCAGTACAAAACTGGTGAAAATATGTTAGCTCTCTGTGCTCATGTCAGGGATCACATTTTGCAAATTTTGTAAATAGAAATTGCTAATATCAAATTGAAAAATAATTCATTTGACATTTAGCATTTGTGCAAATTTCAAATGATAGAAAGGACAACATGTGGTAGAGATTCCATTTCTACCCTTTATTCTACTAAATGCACATCACCTGTGTTTACTATAGGAGTGCTAGCTTAACATGCAACTCCAAAAAAATGTCAGGATTTTTAAACCCAACTTAAAATATATTCTTGTTTTCAATGAGTATAATATTTTGTAAAATCAACTTGAGCTTATGTCAAATTCTAACAGTTAAATAAAAAAAATGACAAAAAAATTCTCGAAAATTTTTAGTCAGTGTTGAATTACCAAACCTTTTGTTGTGCTGAGCCTATTAAGATAAACATAACTGTACCTCTTTGTTTAGAACGATTTTCTATAGTTGGTGTTTCTGATCTTTCTTTATCTCTTTCCTTGTCTCTTTCCTTTTCTTTATCCTTTTCTTTTTTATCTTTTTCCTTGTCTTTATCTTTTCGGTCTTTATCTTTGTCTCTGTCTTTTTCCTTTTTATCCTTTTCTTTTTCTTTGTCCTTTTTGTCCTTTTCTTTTTTGTCTTTTTCTTTATCTTTTTCTTTGTCCTTGTCTTTCTCTTTCTCCTTGTCTTTTTCCTTTTCCTTCTCCTTCTCCTTTTCTTTCTCTTTTTCTTGCTTTTTGTTGTAAGCCCTTGCCTGCCTTCGTTGTCTGAGGAAAATGTATGTTACATTGTATTGTATATCATTTATTTCTTCATTTTCTTTTTCTGACTTAGTGTATTTCATCAGCACAATTGATTATTTACTGAATTTCAAAAAAGTATTCAGGCAAAATTTGAGGGTTTTAGAGAAATAAGTGTAAGTATACACAAGAAATAAGCAGGGGTAAAATGACTATAATGGCATTCTGATAATTGTCTTTTACAACAACTGACAGTTCCAATCTTTCAACAACATGACTATTGAAAACATAGATGATTGGAATAAATGTAAAACTTAAAAGTTTTCAGGAAAATAAGTTTCTTAAAATAAATTCTAAAAGGTAAAAAGGCAAAGGGAAAAACTCCATCACATAGGGTCACATTAGTCCAAAATACCCGAATGATGTCTTAAATGTCACATAAAATCATCATAGCTTCCAATAGCAAATCAGGCATTTCTAATGTGATCACTAAGGTGATTGTGAAAAATTTATCTTTTTGTTGAAATATTTCACTTTAAAAGAAAATTTTGACCGTGAAAATGACTAGCTAACTGGTACTACAATCATTCACTTACTGGTGAGCTTTGTGTAATTCTCTCTGTTTCATCTGACCAGCATCATTACATTTGAGAACTCTGCTTTCTGGTACCCATTCATCCCAGCTGAAGAAATAAATTCAAAAGTCAGCTATGGTAAGATTTGTGTTACAAAGCATTGACTTAATGAGCACTTAAAAAGAAAGTTTTACTGTTGGTAAGTGTAATGCTGAAGTGAGAATTAATGTCATTTTATTTCTCGGAGATATTGCTATATACTTCTTGTGATGAATATTGCATATCAGCCAGTGGGAATTGTAGTCTGTGCCCTACTTCCCTGTAACAGATGGCCACTTTACATAAACTATCTGTTTAAATGCAAGACTATCTACATAATTTCAATTTAGAGCTCTCCCTGTTAGCAAAACTGTTTTGTGATACAAAGGCACTCTTTTACTATGAATATCTGAAATAATTGATGACAGTTTTTATTGACACTTTTATCTATCAACCAAGTTCATTGATATCATTTAACTTCATACAGAGGAAGTTAAGATGGAGCAGTTTATAAATTATCAAACATCCCATATTCTATTATGATTAATAACTACTATCTTGCATTCTATATTTAAAGTGTCATGATTTCAGGGACAATTAAAATTTAGGAATGTTTCAATGATAATTTGCAATAATCATACTAATATTCCAAAGTTATGATTTTGTAGGTTTTTATGTGAGAGGTGAAGTGTAACTGTAGTGTTAAATAGTCAAAGCATGGTATAATGTTTACAGACATATCTTTAATGTTTTCTGTACTGCCAGACCATGAAGAGAAATCTTGTGTACATACTTTTTGTTCCAGCCGTTGTAATGGATGAAGTATCTGACTTTGTTGTCTTTAGTTTCATGCTTGACACACTAAAATGAAAAACTTAAATATTAAAAAAGCATACAAAGAAAAGACTTTTTATCAGAAAATGAAAAACAGAAAAAATGTCTGATGTCAAAAATGAATACCAGGTACAATTTTACATCTTTACAACATAAACAAGTTAAAGATATAAAATACCCTTAATCACAGCAACCTACATGCTAAGTATCATTACACTATAATCTATAGATATAAAAGATTTTCCATTATTCAAATACTGACGCACTGTCATTGAATGTCAGCCAATCAATGCAAGATAACTCATCTGAACCCAGTACAACAACCACCAAGTCCAACCAAATTCGGGCCCAAGTAAAAAATCAAGCCAAAGTCAGGCCCGAGTCATCAATCTAGGCAAATTCAAGCCCAAGTCAATAACCTCGGCAAATTCAAGCCCAAGTCATAAATCACAAAAATTCTTAAGCAAATTTGGGTGCCCCAAATATCTTTTTAGTTATGTTTGGGTATTAAGACCTTATCACAATACAATAGAAACTTGTCAATTGTGAAATTCAAGGGATGGTGGAAAACAGTTTGACTTATCCGTATTTCGACTCAATGAAATGTATGAATAAGGTTGAAGAACTAAGTAGGGCTATGATAGCATGCAAATAGCATAGATTACGGTAATTTGATATTTGAAATGGCAGTAAATAAACAAATGAATTTATCGTATTTTCTCTTTTTATTATTTATTCATCCAAATAGCAAAACATGTAATAACAACTCTAACAAAATGCAATTAAACACACGTCATTCCGTCTCGCACACGTGTACAATACGTTTACTGACCAAGCACATATACATCAGATATTTTACAGAATATCATAAAACAAAATTCAATTTTGCTTTTGATATGTTACAAGAAATAATGTATGAAGCCACAGATCATATCAATATGACTTTACCATGACTAAATAAAAGTATGGAAAAACATGGCACTAGAAGGTTTTTACCTGTTACAGAAAACATTGTACAAGCACTAGACTTAACGAATCATGCAGATATAGACTATATCAATGAAAAATACTTGAAGCAACTTCATTGTCCACACACCCTTTTTTAAAAATCTGACAAAGTGCCCTATCAAAGTACTTTACTTAACAAGCTCAAAATAAGTTTCTTTCAGAATCGTGCGAGTCAGATTTCGTCAAAAAGTTTGTACAGGTTTGAAGTTTTTGTTTTTATCGTTCCTCAAGATGCACTCAACCACGCTAAATGTTTTCATGTTTTGTGTAAACACGTTACTTTTTTAACATACAGGTAGGTCACTGGGACAAGATGGTGACACTAATGAAGAAGTGAACCTTTAATTGGATAATTAAACCGGTAATTAATCATCAGTGACCATGGACCGATACACTGTAATTAACCATGTGTTATGCACAGGTGACTTTCTACTCTGTGTATGTATTGACCGATTTCTTCAGAAGATTTGTCAATGTTTTGACAAAAATTAATTTTGAGACAACGAATGGCTTTTCCCTTGCTTTACAATTGAAGGGACTGAAAAATCGCTTCAACTCACTGAAATTTCGGCTCAATGAAATATGAATCATCTGAACTAAAAATACAAAGAAATAGAAGAGAAACTAGAAAATGTCTGTACGACATGAATGCACCCCCCATGTGAAATAATATTGAAAGGTCCGAATGAAGTTGTTAGGCGGTATATACTGATTTGGGATGCGACGGGACGGACGGATATGGGCAACGCTATGTGCCCCCGGCCATAAATGGCGGGGGCATAAAAATCAGAACTTGAAAATCATTTTGACTCAAACGAAATTTCACCTCAGGCGATTTTGAGACGAGTTTCAACTGTATAACTACAGTAGTGTAAAAAAAAAAAACACTTGAAAACTGTGAACAAAGGGAGATAAATTGAACAGTGTAGACAATATAATTTTTCTTCTAAACAGAGAAGAAATGTACTTATATCTGCATGAAATAGTTCCAAGTTGTCATTTAAAACACAACATCTCATAACAAATTGTGTTTTCTCTTTTATCTATTTATCCTATATACATGTATTTATAAAACAACAGCAGCATCTACTTCATAAACTAATTTCAAAAACACATTTTATATCCTTTCTGTGTCAGTACATGTGTATTTATTTATTCTTTTATTCAAGGTTTTACGTCCACTTTCAGTATTTCAGCAGACAAGTGGTACATGTGCAGTGTTGGGTCTTTTTGTGGTGTAAAATAACTTGAGCCAGGCTATAATTAGATAAGCTAGTTAGCAGGTGACCCAAGTGATGGCTATAAATGCTGAGCGTCCTACAGATAAATGCAGTGTCTAAAAAATGTATTTTGTCCTAAAGAAGCCAGTTTATGTGTGAAACTGAACAAGCAAATTGAGAAACCAACTCTGATACAGTATCTTAAATACTTATGTTGAAATAGTTCAATTTGGCATTTTTTAAATTTGCCAATAACATTACTTCTGAAAATACAACAATTAATGTTATACACTCACCTTTGCTTCATACAGAAGTGGTCCATGGAAACACAGGACCTTCTCTCCTGAAATACACAATATTCTTATTAAAAAATAATTAAAACATAAATATTTTAAACATTGTAGGAATTAACAATTACACTAATTAATTCCTCTATATTGTCTTAATTGCAGATTTTCTGTATTGAGGAAGATAATCATACTACATAATCATATCAAAAGAACTAGAGTTTGAGTCTGGGTACCCAAAATTTGAACATAACTATATAATAGATTCCTTGATGCTGTAATTAATTTTGAATAAACAACAAGAAAAAAAACAACATGTCAACATAATCATAGCCCAAACTCAATTCAATAAAACGAGGGCAAACTACAAACAAAACAAAGATTTATACAGAGACTCTTGGAAAAGGACGAGGATAATAAGACTTGATGTTTTGGAAGAGTAAGTGTATTTTGCTTCATCGATGACACTTCCAATGTAAACCATGGTAAATTCAATTAATAATGACATGTTTTCAAATCAGAACAAGGTATAAAACAATGGAACCAACAAGCAAACTAATGAGCATCAAACACATCCAGCTTCATATCGTAAAGAAATATAATATTTCTCAATGAGATCACCTTGATGACAAAAAAACCTTCTACATAATTTTCATCAACATGCATCATTTGAAACCTTGTGTTACGAGTTTGTCCGTCAGTTGATAACTTCTTTGCACGAAAAGTTATAACGGGAACAAGCCCTTGAATACCAAATCAACTGTGACATGTAAACATCATAGGTTGATGATGCAGGAATGTTGGCATCCAGAAATGGAAAGTTAACAATAGGGAAACTAAAATCCTAACATTTGTCATACAGCTAGGTGGAAATCTGTCTATGTTGGTTTCCTTGTGGGAAAAAAATGAGATAAGCAGTTGATGTAGAAGAGTTTGTCATGTCTTTGGTTTCCAAATGTAGTCCAAAAAAGCATATATCTGCTGGCATATTATTGAAATTTAGCATAGACATATATCAGTATGTGGAGTGTTGATTGAGACTTATGACTACCAATTAATGTTTCTTAAAATCGAAATGACTCCTACAATTATTTATTTGACATAATAAACAGGGATAATCCTGAAATGATTATCTTATCAAAATGTGAAGTGAAACACTGTTACTAGTGATACAGAGTTGGGGCCACAAATTGTGCCACCTGGCGCAAGCACAGCGCGAAAGCAAAATGTGAAAGAAATCATACTGAATCAATGCTAATTAAGTGACCTGTATGTGTATAATTTGGCAGTATCATTTGCTTTTGATCGACATTTACAGTATGCTACCAACAGCATTTTATGTCAATGACCATCTGAAGTGATTGTTGCCATGCCAATATCTTTATTAATAGTTATACATTCCTTCTCATGGTATGTTTTGAACAATTCAAATAGTAAGAAAAACAGGACTAGAAAGGGTTTAAACTATGACAAGACAATAGATTATAGTTTTTATTGGAAAAATCATGCAGGTAGAAAACTTTGACAGGGAAAGAGATCCAAGTTTAAGACAAAAGCTTAAAATATAGTGACCATATTCAATCAGATGTCTCCAAAACAAATCAGAATCGTTGTCTCATATTTAAAACTTTTACATGTTTTATTCAGGAAATGTTTCTGACCCTATACAAGTCCCTAGCTTGTCCCTATTTGGAAATGGCAGTTATGGTATGGGCCCGATTCTTATATAAGACCAGGTTTCTAAAGAGAACATTCAGAGACCAACCAAATCAGTACCCAATCTAAGGGATCTACTATATCAAGCCAGATTAAAGAAACTAGGCATATTATCCTTTGAATATAGATTTATCACTGGTCTGATATGCTACAAGTCTACAAAATCCTGAATAATGTAGACCTAGTCCAAAATGTACTGGAAATGAACCATCTAACAGCAACTAATAATAATAGTAATAAGGAACTATTCATTCTATAGTGTTAATTTGTCCTGTGTTGCACCATTTTTGGCATTACCTCATGCATATCGTGATATCCAGATCTTTTTCTACCACAGAATGATTTCTAAAAGAATCTTCTCATTCTGACCTATAGAATGTTCACCCCATCTTAAATTTTAGTGTTTTACTATAGCTTTCTATAGGTTATTATATTAAACCATGCACTCAGGTCCCATACCAATTACAACAACCGAAGGAAAGGACAGTTTGATAAGAAAAAAGGCTTCCACTGACAGGAGGACATTTATGTGTATTTTAAGTGCATAAGTGTGGAATACTAATGGAAAGAAATTCTTATTCGAATACAAACCTTCAACAAATTTCATTTTTGGTGGCATCTTTCTTCAGAAAATATATCCCGCGAAGAAACCGGATGGATAAATTGCGGCCTGATCAATGAACCAAGCGCTGTGCAGAGGTTCCGGAATTTAGTCAAAAAAGAAAGAAGGCGTGCACGCAAGAGTCATTAAATGATAAAATTGAAGCTGAATATACGTCAATTTATGGGAAAAACACCATGTTGTCCCGGAGGATACGCGTCTTCTGATTCATTAGCGATACCAGCCATTATTATTTTAGTTGGTAGATTACATTACTAGCATCAAGTCAAGAAGTAGTGTATTTTTCATTACTATTTATTTAACACATCCCCCCCCCAACTCTGAACAGCTTTAAGTGGATGTCTACGTACTAGCCCAGATATCGACCCTATATTATTGTACGTTTTTTAATAATTATGAAAGGAACCACGTCGTGTACTCGCCTTGAGTATTTGTTTAAATGTATTTTCATTGATAAAGCGTATTATTAATATATCTATGTATTTATTAATTTTTTTTTCAATTTCCAAATTTTCATTATTTATTAACACATAAATACACAATAACATTCTTACGTATGGTTATTTGTTGTTCATATGCATTTACATGTGTCGTCTAGACAGCGGTTCCGGTCCGGTATGTATTTCGGGCCGGCCATTTAGTCGACTTGTTTTCGGTGAACTATTCATCTACATGAACTAAAATCCTATTAGTTTTGGTAACGTTTGGTAAGTCTTAAACTTTATTGAATAGATTTCATAGTGTGAACACAATTCAATACATTTATGAATTTGTTTGGTAGCAATTCATCGACTTAGCATTGCTAGCAGATACGATTATTAAGGGATCCGAAACTAATACATTACGATTCATCTTACCTGTATGTGAATCATCCTCATCATCCTTTCATTGTGTAATACGCATGTATTACTTGATTCGTAATTATGATCATGTACGGTGGATATGCATTTGAGTTTGTGTCTTATTTATTTAAGCACACTCACATACGCCACATTTGATACATTGTGCAATTCCCCGACTTTTTACTCACGTTTTGGGGACTTTGGCAGTGGCACAATTGTCATTATTGTCTATCAAATTAAAACTCAGAGTGACCCAGATTGATTGAATATTCAGAACAAAATTGAATATTACACTTGCTACTACCGTGTCGTTGATAGTGGGTATCCCCATAATGTCGTTATGAAACTCAAGTCCCCACAGCTGCAGCGAATCAAGACTGGAGAGAGATATATGGAAAAACTGTAGGTGTGTTAGGTGGACATATTCTCCATTTATTAATCACATTGTGGTTATAATCTTACTACTAAGAGGACATTTGTATATACCAACACCTATGGTCACTTAAATTGCATTAAAATTGCACGAAGTGACAAGAAAAATAATTTCATCAAATGTCTCCACAAAGTTTTTGCTTTCTCAATAGTGCCTGCAAAATCATATTGTCCTTGGTATTAGAAATCAAGGTCACGACAGACTCTTTTACATTAGCTCTACATATTTGTTTATGAGATTTTACATAATCTCGATCTTTTCCTACAACGAAACCAACAAGGTTAGCTTTCCACCAAGCATAATGATATTGTGAATTTTCCATTTCTGGATAGGAACATACCTGCTATGGTGTTTACATGTCGCAGTTGATTCGATATGCAAAGGACTGTTCCCATTTTCAAACTGACGGACAGACTCGTAACACAGGGTTTCAAAAGATGCAGGTTGGTAGAAATTATGGAGAAGTTTTACGGTCGTCTATGAGTGATCTCATTGAGAATTATTCTATTTCTTTGTGCGATATGAAGCAGACGTTAGTTTGCTTGTTGGTTCCGCTGTTGTAGATCTCGCTCTCATTTGAGAACGTGACATTACTTACTCGGATTGACCAAGATTTACATGGCAGGTGTCGTCGATGGAGCAGCAGATGCTTTTCCTTCCTGAACACCTGGTCTTCTTCCTACATGTTTTAAGAGTCTCCACGTAAGTCTTTCTTTTGTTCATACGATGTGTTTTTTCCCTAGTTTTACAGAATTTGACTTTGGATTATGATTAAGTTGACATGATGATATTTTTTTCTTCTCTCTTTCTCGTAATTACACGAGAACATTATATTTCATGTCTGTGAGGATGTTGCTTTGGTATACTCGCACCTACAGAAATAAAGATCTGCCGACAAAGATCGTCTATCCATATTTAGGACAGTTTAAGTTTAGTTGAGACAGCTGGCCATCGTGCCGGTAATAACTTCAGCCAGCCAGACAATATAATTTGGTAGTCATGGCTATCCCATGGTAGGAACTACATGTATGATAGTAATATTAACCTAACCAGAGACGTATATAAACGTCCCTGACCTAACCAATAGATGAAATAAGAATTCTAAAATAGACAAGAGTAGGATTTCGCCAAGCCCGTGGCATTACGTCATAACATTGTTCGTAAGTATCAAAACCAATCACTTAACAACGTAGACGTAAGTATTTTTAGCGATCTTCATTTGAAGTTTGATGTTTGTAACTTGTTAATTGATGTATTATAATCATGGTCTTTCACGCTCGATGGTAATCAACTAGGCAGTCGTAATATCTATTATGATTTTATGGTGATCGACTGAGCAGTCGTAATATCTGTTATGATTTTATGGTGATCGACTGAGCAGTCTTATTGTCTGTTATGATTTATATGATAATATTGTGTCTTGTCTCTTAGAATTACTACGTCATTTCCTTATTATCCACATCCTCCTTGAAGCAGCTTAAGGGGGGTGTCATTATGGGGGTTGGCAATTTTCTAACTGTTTTGTACCTTTACAGAACTCTGTTCGACGAAAGTCGATATTACCACGGACTTATATACATATAATCGAAAGAAGCGGTCCGCGCAGGCGCGATAGGAAGGATTAAAGGTAAATTGAGAGGCAGACAGTCGTTACGCTCCGCTGCGCAAATATAAAAGGTGGACAATACACATGCGGAGCTGAAGACAAGTTGCCTATCCCTGTGTATATAAGTCCGTGATATTACGAAATCTTAAATTTACACATGTCTAAATATAGCAAACGGAAAACCCGATCGTGACTCAGTCATATAGACAGTCCGTTTTCTGATGGCGACTTACATAACACCCTTTGCAATGTTTATGTTCGTGGGCAGTGAAAGTGTTTGGTTTATTGTTGTTTTACGTCCTATCGACAACTAAGGTCATTTAAGGACGTGCCAGGTTTAGATGGTGGAGGAAGCCGGAGTACCTGGGGAAAACCACCGACCTGCGACTGTATCTGAAATCGAAACCACCAGGAAGTGACTGACTGGATCAAGATTTAATTTTATTCGCAGCTATTGCGCATATACACAGGTATTTTGACTTGCCGTTGTAAATGGGGATAGGAAGTCCATTGCTTTGTTTGACATACTTCTTGTCGACTTTAGGATATACTTAGTGACTGAATCAAATGGCTGTAAATCGATTTAGCTGTTTCCGTGAATCAAATATCGTGTTTTTTGTTAGACAGTATGGTGAAATGAGGCGTACGATTTTTATAAGAACGTAAAGGATCCTTTAATGATGATTTTCCCTCCAAAAACCCATACAAAATCCTAACATGTGCCGATTATAATGGAATAATTCGACCGTAAACGTACTCGGTACGCATAGCCTATTGCGACGGCCTTTCAGACAAAATTTACCGATCCTGGCCTTCTCATTGGCTAAAATATCGAAAAGAGTTAGAGCCCCTCTAGCGGCAATTTTCTGCGTAAATAATGCCGCGATCTTTCAAATCGCTATTTTAAAAGCATCCAAAATTAGTTTTTTAAATAAGAATACGATCACTATATATTTCAGTGTGGTTGAACTATTGATCAGTTTTTAACAATATATTTTACGGAATTCTCGACATGACGTAAGCGTACAGAACACTGTACGTGCGAGTTGGCGCCATGATAAGAAGCTAGTCTGGGGGCTTGGTTTGAATTATCAACTAACAGTACTTATAAACAAACAGAACATCAATTTTGATTTAATCCTTGTCGTTGTGGTAAGATCATCTTAATATATAACATCACTTTACCTCATTAGACGTCACAAAATTGGACTGTTCGTCCCACTCGCGCGCACACCCGCCGATATGACACTTTTTCAAGTTTTTCACACCCACCGCCATAACACTTTTTCAAGCTTTTGAAGATAAAAAGTTTGCGCTTCGTAGGCAAGGCACATTTAGCGCTCATGATTTATGAATAATATGTTTTAATACTGTACTGATCATGATGTTGACTCTGTGATAACTTATATTTTTTGTCTTTTAGTTTTATTTGATGAAGGTTGATTGAGCTGATTTCTCAAGGTTTGTTAATGTGTATCAAAGTTCCTTGAAATGAAAATATTCCTTCAAACAAAGCGCGTATAAAAAAACCCTAAAATATTCATGTTTATAATTATCAGTTAACTAGAACGAAATATTTCCATAACATATTTATTCATTTAGCGTGTCATGGTGACATTATATAATGCATTGGAGATAAGAAATAGTAGTAGCTATAGTGAAAATATTGTAAATTTTGTATATATATGGAAGCCTGGTTTAATTTCAAAGAACTATGTCTTTATAGACATAATTACTGGAAGAAAAGTCTAACCATGATACTTCAAGGAAGATAGGCATGTAAATACATTTAATGTAATTACTTACACTTTTATCTATCTGAAATGATGTGTACACCTTATCTACTTTCCTCAACTACAAATATAATTACAATAAGTAAGAACTATTACTTTGCAATACATTCAAAATATAGAAGTGGGTATAAAGTCCTTTCGATTGGTCTAAATCCTCATATTGATAGGATAGTAATTGCAACATCTTGGGTATTTCAAAGGTTATATATTGTCAACTTCATTATAGAGCTATTTATCATTTGGCTTGTTGACGATAAATATATGGTTGTGTGTATTTTGTTATTTTTTTTACCTCTTTTGATTTGTTCACATTATTGTCGTCAAATTTGAAATAAGAATTAAAGAAGATATAAAATCGCTTAAAATT